AAAATGTCCTTGCATTATTAATGAAATGATTGAAATTTGTCTGGAAAAGCTTCCAGTCCAGAAGCTTTCTTCAAAGTGATAAATTTATTGAGCAATGAAGTCTTGTTATCTTTATCTGAAGCAAGCTCTGGGGTGCTTTGCACAACTTCTAGATTTTAAAAATTTGCTCTGTAAGAAAAGGTTGTATGTGTAAGAAGGGGTTCCCAGCCCCATGAGGGCATCAGCATTGGCAAAGTATAAGGAAATAATCAAAATCATTTTTGTGATAAGTGCAGGTCACATGTTCAAGGACCAACCTTGATCTTGTAGTCAAGAGAATTACTTTACTTGAGTACCATGCACCCTCAAGTCAGGCGTGCACATGGGTTTTTCAGTTTGAAATTTTGCTAAAATCTTATCCCCAGGTAAGACGCTCACGCCAATTTTAGTGAATCTAAAACCACAAAATTTTGAAAATAAAAAAATTTGACTTTGGACGCGAATTGAACAAAAATCTGATCAATTTTCAACTTTTTCAGGGTAAAAAAAGTTGTCTTGTTACATTTGTTCCAAATTTCTGCATTATAATCAAATATAATGTGCACATAACTTCCTAAAATTTCTTTAAAAAATTTTACCTGCTTCTGACTTGCACCCTTTTTTTCTTCAGAAATTTGAGAAAAAAGGTGCGTGTGGTACTTGAGTAAATACGGTATTTCATGTGTTATGGATGCAATGCCTTAAGTTCTTGACACCTCTATACCAAATTTCATCAAATTCTATTGCATATTTTTATATTGAATTTTAAAGTTGAAGCTGGAATGTTACTCCCATGGGTTTCCCCATTCATGATTGGCAGGGATCCTTGAAATTTTAAAAATGTGGCTACCAAGAAAAGTAACTTTATGATACTGTAGTAGAATTTTGGATATACAATGGCANATTCGTGTACTATTTTTGTCGAAAGATTTATATCGAATGCGCAAACATCCTGTGTTAAAATCCCACTGCGTTTCTTTTTTTTTCGCGTATACCATGATTTTATTTTTTGTTGTCTTTGTGATTATTCCCGGGCTTTTTTCGAGAGTCGGCGCAGGTTAGTGCAACAGATTTCTGCGAATCTGCGGTGCTTTTTTTCCAAAGAATTTATATTCAGCATTAAATTGAGATTTCCTTTGTGACCACAGTGACAAAATGTGCAGTATTTAAAATTTTTGCCTGAAACCGTGTTCCGTGAATTTGGTTTATTGGAGGTGCTCTTGATCAATATGTTGGTTAATTGCATTTTATATCAATTCATGGAAGTAAATTTTACTGAAATTAAAAATAACACTACTCACTTTTCGCTATCAGTAACGCGTGGTACATATTTTGATTCAAGAATTTGTTGATTTTATTTCGTTTTTAGGTTGAAATTTTTTTGGTTTCGCCGTACAAAAATTTACATAAAATCTGGTGAACGTGGCGTAAATCTTCTGCTTGAATAAACAAAAATATCAGTGTGATCCTCTTTTTTTTCCTTTTTCTACAATTTTCTGATATTCGGGGAATTAACGCCATGACATAAATTTGCGGGCTGAATTTTTCCAACATTTTTGACGTGCTAAAAAGCAGTCCTTGGTCTTGAAAATACAGTCAAGCCTCTTCAATTTGAACTCAGAGGAAATAACAAAAAATCGACGATTCAAAGGTTTTTTGATCTAGGGAAATCCTAATTTTTGCTGCGAAGAATCAGAGGGAAGGTATTTTATGTTGTGGGCCTTGAACTAATTTGGTTGAATAAATTTACAGGACGCTGAAATTTTACAAAGATATGTTTACCCAGTCACTCACTTCCTTCTAAAAAGCATCAACTCATATGTTTTATTTCCCTTATCATCTTAACTTCAAGGACTGTATGTAGGTTCGAAGTAGAAAATATTTAAATTTACGGAGGTATGTATCAAATTATTCTTGATGGGATCCAGACAGGTACTCTGCAAAAATTTGACAGTTAAGATTTTAGCTTGAGGGAGGTTTGACTTAGCAAGGGACAGCTATGTATGCATATGAGTGTCAATGAATTTAGTGACAGAGAATTCCTCATGAATTTGAAGAAGAAAAAATTCGCGATATTTTTTCTCTTATTTTATTTTTTTTCAAGTGTACCGTTACGAGGTGATCACGAATGCAGTGAACAATGCTCCTCTGGGTGTGAGGCCGGTTCCGGAAAACGAATATCCGGTTTTCGAAAAACCGGAAAGAGGTGATATCAGTACCCAATTGGCGTGCTGGACCTGCAGTTCCGTGAAGCAAGACCTTTTGCCGAAAGACGGGTTGCCAGAGATCACGACGAAGCTGGACGGGTTCTCAGAGTGTAAACCGTATTTACAGGGTGTTTTCGATCAGGCCACTAGCGAATTCGGGGAAATCACGCGATTTGATCCCGAGGATAATGCCCATTGTCTTGTCATTGAGTCTGTTGATGGTGAGTTAATTGGGGGTCGATCCTGGCTTGAATTTGCACGTTAAAATTTTTAGCAGCGCGGAAAATAATGTGCAAGCTTCAAACGGACAGTGAGTCAATGCGGCTCAAGCATGAAACTCAGTTTTCAGATATACTGTATACTGGAGGTAATTTTTGGGTTGCATTTTTCCCCTTTTTGAGACACAAAATGTCCTTGCATTATTAATGAAATGATTGAAATTTGTCTGGAAAAGCTTCCAGTCCAGAAGCTTTCTTCAAAGTGATAAATTTATTGAGCAATGAAGTCTTGTTATCTTTATCTGAAGCAAGCTCTGGGGTGCTTTGCACAACTTCTAGATTTTAAAAATTTGCTCTGTAAGAAAAGGTTGTATGTGTAAGAAGGGGTTCCCAGCCCCATGAGGGCATCAGCATTGGCAAAGTATAAGGAAATAATCAAAATCATTTTTGTGATAAGTGCAGGTCACATGTTCAAGGACCAACCTTGATCTTGTAGTCAAGAGAATTACTTTACTTGAGTACCATGCACCCTCAAGTCAGGCGTGCACATGGGTTTTTCAGTTTGAAATTTTGCTAAAATCTTATCCCCAGGTAAGACGCTCACGCCAATTTTAGTGAATCTAAAACCACAAAATTTTGAAAATAAAAAAATTTGACTTTGGACGCGAATTGAACAAAAATCTGATCAATTTTCAACTTTTTCAGGGTAAAAAAAGTTGTCTTGTTACATTTGTTCCAAATTTCTGCATTATAATCAAATATAATGTGCACATAACTTCCTAAAATTTCTTTAAAAAATTTTACCTGCTTCTGACTTGCACCCTTTTTTTCTTCAGAAATTTGAGAAAAAAGGTGCGTGTGGTACTTGAGTAAATACGGTATTTCATGTGTTATGGATGCAATGCCTTAAGTTCTTGACACCTCTATACCAAATTTCATCAAATTCTATTGCATATTTTTATATTGAATTTTAAAGTTGAAGCTGGAATGTTACTCCCATGGGTTTCCCCATTCATGATTGGCAGGGATCCTTGAAATTTTAAAAATGTGGCTACCAAGAAAAGTAACTTTATGATACTGTAGTAGAATTTTGGATA